CTGGTCTCCCTGCCTTGGGTGTTTCTGTGACCTGTGACCCATCCCATGTATGGTGCCACACCTCGGACACAACTTTCCTCCCTAGTTTTTCCTCCTCCTCCTTCCCTTCGTACGTTCCTGTGTCACCCAAAAGGAACTTCTCCCTTATTGTCAGCTCTACTTTCCCCAAGTTGCTCACGTTGTTCCATCTACCTTGACGCCCTTTCCTCTCCCTTCCCACCTTTTCGTGTGCCCATTTCCACTCCAACCTTCAAGGTACAAGTCCAACAGCTTCTTCAGGGAATCCTTTCCTGCCACCACTAGCCAGAAGTCATCACTCCCTCTCCAGTACTGTGACCCACTCTTATTTTGTTTTTCCCTTCTGCCTGGTATTTGTTTACATGTCTTGTTTTCCCCAACTAAAAAGAAAGCTCTATCAAGGCAAGAATAATGCTTTAATCATCTTTGCCTCTTCACCATCTAGCATAGTGCTCAATAAGTAGATTGATGAATGAGTGAAAAAATGAATGAATGAACGTTTTGGGCTGGTCTTGCTCCATGTTACATAGTCTTCCCACTAGATACGGTGGCGTCATTACTTATCTCATTATTGGTATCAATGATAACATTTGTGCCCTCCACCCTCAAACACATCTCACCAACAAAATTATAGCCATATCTTCAATATCCTGTGGGGTTTATGAAGTCCCTTGGTAGAAATGAAAGGTCAGGGATTAGCCTGGATGCTGGGGCAACCACAAGTTTATTACCAGAACCCAGGCTCAATGCAGAGTGCTCAAGGTCAGAGGATCACGGCCCTCTGGGCGGGTTTTTGTTTATACAGGGCAACATTCTTGTTTTTGCAGTGTTAATTACATGCCCCTTTAAATTTCCAAGAGCTCAGGAAGGTGTTGGTTTCTCAGACCCAACGAAGCTCCACCTCCCTGCAAGATGCCTCTGCCTAGGGGTCACAAGTGTACCTTCACAGGGGTCAAGAAAGGTTTGGAATCTTCCTATAGCAAGTCCAAAAAGTTCATGAAATGGATAGAGTTGTAAGGCCCACTTTACCATTAAATAAAATAGGCGATTATTTATGTAGTATGATATCAGAGGTACTAAAAAAAAAAAGGCCCCCTATCTAAAAAACACTACTTCCCATTCCTCCTCATATTTGAATTTTCACCATTAGAAATTCATTCCTTTCTTTTACCTCCTGTTAGACTATAAATCCCTGAGAGAGGTAACTCATTAATCTGTTTCATTATGTTATACTTCAATGTAAACTATTTTATTAGTCAGAGCTACACCCCACATGTGTCTTCAAGTTATAGCCTCCCAGAATCCTTTATGGAAACTGTTTGGGTTACCCTAATCTTGGTGTCCAGGTGATAGGGTCAGATCTCCAGCCTGCAACAGAGGCTAGGTTTGGGGGGCTTGCCTACCTATCAGACATTCCAGAAAGCAGGGCGTATTCTGCATTTAGTAAGGTGCTATTGAATACTATGCCAAACTGTGAAGCTGATAAAAAGTTGCATAAGGGGGCAGCTAGGTGGTGCAGTGGATAGAGCACCGGCCCTGGATTCAGGAGGACCTGAGTTCAAATCCGGTCTTAGACACATAACACTTACTAGCTGTGTGACTCTGGGCAAGCCACTTAACCCTATTGCCTAGTCAAAAAGAAAAAAAAGTTGCATAAGAAAAATTTTCTGCCTCAATGGAGCTTCCTTCCTAGCAGGGGAAGAAAAGCCACGTAAGCAATTTAACAGTGTACAAAGACCACCAAGGTTATTTCTAATACAGCTTGTGCAAGTGTTCTGAGTTTGGGAAGACAGATCCATGGGACACTGTGCCTGTCATAATATCCCAATCTCTGGTTTCTTGAATGGTTCATTGGGCCATCAGAACACAAACTGAGTGTGTTATAAGCTGTAATTATCTTGGAAACATCTGGTCACTTGTAAAGGGATGAACCAATCATCAAGGTTCCAATAAATAGACCTGTTAGGAAGCTACATGTAGTTGCTAGCACCACCTTGTGGCACAGAGAATTGTTAATGGTTCTCACTACAGCAGCAGGGCCTACATTATTTAGAATCAACCAGGGTAGAACTTGTGTCAATGCCAGTCAATTTTTAAAAATCAACAAACATCAATAGATTGAGAGCTATCCTTGCATCCGAAAACAATGATAGCCACAATGGAATCTATGAACAAAGAGGAGCCCACACACTACTTGAGGAGACCAAGTCAATTCGATGATTCAATAAATATTTCTTAAACACTTGTGGTCTATAAGGTTCCCTGCTAAGCCCTGGGAATGCCAAGAAAAGAAGGGGAAAAAAATGTGGTGCCTGCCTTCAAGGGGCTTCCATTCTACTGGGAGATGCAATAAACAAACAAACAAGTAAATAAACCAATAATCAAATAAATGAGTAAATGGATGAAATCATAGAAGGATAAAGAGATAGATTGACAGATAGGTAGAGCATCTATTAAGTGATTGCTATCTACCAGGCATTATGCTAAATACTGGGGATAGAAAACAAGATGGTCTCCACTCTCAAGGAATTCTCATTAAGAGGAACTGGAAAGGAATTTGGGAAGCAAGCAAGAAAGTAACCCTTTGGAGATAAGGGTGCTGTTGGAGAAGTGGAGCAGACCAGAGAGTGAGCTAGAAGTGAAGTGAACACCCTATCTGGGGCTGTCTTTGAATATATACCTTTGCTTTCATATGCTTTTCAAATCCCAACTCATTAGAAAGATAGTAATGATAACATAAATAATATAATAATAAAATAACAAACATTTGTGTCATGCCTATTATGGGCCAGGTACTATGCTAAGCAGTTTATAACTATTAACTCCATTTTACAGATGAGGAAACTAACGAAAACAGGTTAAGTGACTTGCCTAGGTTTAAGGCCAGATTTGAACTTCTCTTACCAGTTTGAACTTTTTTTGTACCCCCCCCCCAAAAAACCCTAAGAAAAGCATTTATTAAGGTGCCATCTATGAATTAGGGGAACTTAAGCTCCAACCATACTGGACTACTCATCCTTCCCCTTATAAATTGCATACTTTCCCATCTCCAGACTTTTATTCAAATTTTGGTCTATAACTACATAATCAATTTAATTCAACAGTGAGTATTTTTTAAGCACCTATTACCTTGGGTGCTGCAGATACAATGTCTAAAGCAACAGTCACAATCTTAAGGAACTAGAAAGAAACTGCATGTACACAGATTAGAGTATGTACATATATATATATATATATATATGTATATGTTTTAAAATAAAAAATACAATTCCTCATGCCCTTCCAAACCAGATAAGAAGTTACTCTTTTCTTTTCAAATATTGTCTTCTCTCTTTCCTTTCTCTCCTTTCCTATCATCTTCTTTCTTTCTTTCTCCCTTTTCCCCTTCCTTCCTTCCTTTCTCTTTCTCCCTTCTTTTCTACCCTTCTTTCTTCCTCTTTATTTCTTCCTTCCTTCCCTCATTCCCTTTCCTTCTTTCTTCCTCTTCCTCCCTCCTTTTTTTTCTCCTTTTTTAAAAAAACTAGATCTCCTTATCTTACCCACTCTGGAAATGCAGCAGCCACTAATGGGGTTGGCCCTACTACTGATCAGCATGGGATCTTTGACCTACTCTGTTTATGATCTGGCCCAAGTCAACCTTCCTTAGGTAGCCTTGTGGGGGTGGGCCTTCCTATATTGGTGCTGGGGTTACTGCTGACACATGGTTATCTTTAGCCCTACTGCAGCTCAGGACTCCAGCAAGCTATCCACCAGCTTCAGCCTGCCCCTGTATCAGGGATTACAAGCCTGTACCACCACATTCAGAGAAGCCACCATTTTCTTATTTAATTGCCTATTAGTTCCTTATGCTTATCTGTTTTTAAAAAGTGGGATTCAGAAAAGAAGTGTGTCTCATAGGGTAAAAACAGCTAAAGATGATGAGAATGATGTTGGTGGCAAAAAGCAAGCAGCAAAGACTATTCCAGAGGAAAAGGGGGGGAAATGCTTTCAGATGAGGAGACTTTGGTATGAACAAGGATGAATGTGTGACCTTTAATGTAAAATAAATTTTATTGACTAACATCTCTGAAGATTATTTTTCATCATTAATTTTCATTAAATTAACTCAGTTAATTTATGATTTACATAATCATTATCCAGCAGTTATAGCTAGGGATCATACTAGTAATTTCATTGGTGATTCCCTATTCAACCATTTCTGACATAGAAAATCAAACATACCATAATTTTTAGAGATTAGATGGACTTGGTCCTGTGAGTTCATTAACATAAAAAGCTCTGAGGTAAGAAAATCTCCTCTACCAAAGCAGGTTAGCATTTTCTCTGCAATTCATACTTTTAGAGAGGTGCCTAGCCCAGATCACAAAGTTGGACAGTTTGCCTACAGTCATACCCCAACAGCCCTATAGGATAGGTGCTATTATCATCCCCATTTTACAGATGAGGAAACTGAGGTTTGTCTAAGATAGAATTCAATTCAGGTTTTCCTAGATCTGATACCAGCTCTTTATCCATCACACATAAACTTTAAAATATAAATTGGCTGAGAGAGAAAAGCTTAATTAAAAAATAAACTATTGCACTTCTTAGAACTCTTCTCTTCAGAAACATATCTATATGCCCTCCAGACACCTGAACAAAAAAAAGAAACCTACCCCTGTCCACAGAAGATTTGGGTTTAACATTCATAAATAAAATCAATCAACAAGTATTTAGTAAGCACCTACTATGTGTTAGGCACTGTGGCAGACACCAGCTCAAAGAATGAAATAGTCCCTACTTGCAATGAACTTCTGATCTAATTGGAGAGGGGAGACAAGTATATACAGCTATAAAAACAATGCATATAGATGCACATAAATATCTATTATATAATAATACACATAAATAAACTTGTATATAAAATATGTATAATATAAGTATAAACTTAATTATGAAGGGAGAAACAGCAAGATTTGGCTACTTACTGGATACAAGGGTTGAGATAGAACGGAGGAGTGCAGGATAATGCAGATTGCATGAATGTGTGACCGCCGTAAAGTAGCCAATTCATCTCCACTGGACCCAAGTGTGTATTCTTCTAGAAGGAAGTGATGCATTATGTTTAATTCACTGGAAAGGATAGATAAGAAGAATCTACTTTGGTTTTCCAGGCTTTATTGACCTAACAGCTTGGGAGTCAGTGAGGCTCAGTTTGTTTTGTTTAGTTATTACCTTTTCCTTCTGATAATGAGATGCCCCATGAGACAGAAAACTTCTCCCTCCCAGCCCGGAAGGTCACCTGGACCTCTGCACTCCCACTTCAGCAGTGCTGGTAAGGGAGAGCCTGGCAGCCAGAGGCAAAGGGCAGGTTTCCAGGAGCTGTGGATGCTCAGGTGGTGGACTGTGGCCGAAGAAGTAAAGAGAATGTGTGTTTGGAGGGACATGTTGTAATGAGGAAGTGATGGTGTATTTATTCACATGGATTTTTCCACTTTCGTTACAGTGTAACTGTACTACAGTGTGACTGTAGTAGGTATAAGTTAGCTAAAAAAAATCAAAGAAAAGGTAAAAGGAGAAAGATGGGAAGTAAATCTGGTGAAATGGAAGCCCAGTTTGTCATGGAGGCAGAAGCTGGGGAAGAGGGTTATGAGTAATGGGTAAATCACAAATTCTCAAACAAGAAAGTGATAGTGTGGTCAATCTTGGCTTTTCTCTTCCAAGTATGGCTCAAGATGGATTTCCTATATCAATGTCCCACCCTAATGATGGGCTATCTTTAGTTGCCCTGATCTATATCTGATGGAGGAGAAAGTGAGGTTGGTGACTTTGCACAGCCCTCCATCATTCAAATCCAATTCACTCACAAGTCATGGCATCATCTTCCTGATGTCATGGTCCTCTTTGAGTAGGAAGGATGAACCACACACACACACACACACACACACACACACACACACACACACACACACGTAAACTCCTTGAGAGCAAAAACCTACTCATTTTTATATTTGTCTCAATTCCCTACCATTGTGCCTTGTACAAAGAACTTAACAGTGTTCCCTGATTAAGTAATTGCTTGATCAGGAGCAACCCACATAGAAGAAAGGAACCACAGGACTGTGTCCAAGACACCCATCACATCTTACATGTGAGAACCAGTGCAACATGTCAATTCTAGGGTCCTTATATCGTTGACTGTCATGCCTTCTGGATACTTCATCCCAGTTCCTAGCTTGTACCAGCATCAAAGAGCCAATTGTTAAATTTATAATGCAAGCATTTGTACCTGAGAAATTCACAAATCCTACAAATCATAATTTGGTTTATTGTCTCATTGATTTCTAGACCTAAGAAACTGATAGAGAAAATGTTAATAATTTAGATTGAACTTATAAGTATGCTGTGCATATATTTGGGGGTGAGGATAGGGGACCAGTTGTTAAACATTTACCATCACACAGCTGCCTGGAATTTATTCCTTTTCTCACTCTCTTGCCTCAGAATCCCTAGTGTTTTTCAGGTGAGGGATAAATGCCATCTTCTATAAGACGTTTTTCCTCCTTTCTTAAATTATGAAGTATTACATATCATAGCTCAAGAGCTGAAAGAGACCTCATCCCAACCCCCTCAATAGAAACTGAGGCCCAAGTTAAGTGACTTGCCCAAGTTCAGGTATGAGTCGAAGCTAGGAATTTTACTTCAGAGGCTTTCCGTTATACCACAATGCTTTCTAGGTGTATTATATGAAATTATAGATATTTCTGTATTTATAGGTTTCCTCCAATAGAATGTAAACTCCTTAAGGGCAGAAGCTGTTCTTTCTTTTTGTCTTTGTATCTGTTGACCCAGAAAATCAGCAGGTGTTTAATAATAAATGCAAATTGGATTAGATTAGAAAATACTTTTAGGTGGTTGGGACTGAAAGGATATAAATTGCTTATCTATTTTGTGCACAAAATTAAAAAAGAGCACAATTACTTAACTGTTTTGTGATGCAGCAACCCATCCACAGAAACATTTCATGGGATCTGGTTAAGACTTTATAGGGGCAGCTAGGTGGCACAGTAGATAGAGCCACAGGCCTGGAGTCAGGAAGACCTGAGTTGATATCTAACCTTAGAAACTAGCTGTGTGACCTTGAACAAGTCACTTAACCCTGTTTGCCTCAGTATCCTCATCTGTAAAATGAGCTGGAGAAGGAAATGGCAAACCACTCCAGGGTCTTTGCCAAGAAAACCCCAAATAGGATCAGGAAGAATTGGAAATGACTGAACAAAACCTCACAGACTGCCTACGTTTTCCCAGTTAATCTTTCCTGGAAAATACCTCTAGGAGGTGTTGAGAGAACAGGGAAGACAGGATGACTTAAGGTATCTCATTAAGTACTCAATTAGCACTTTAGCCAAGCCGTGACTGTTTAGGTTTATTTTCATCTACTGCAGCAGAAAAGAGGAGTTCTCTTTCTTTGACAGGTGTTTGCTCTAAGTAAGTTCACAAAAGAAACAGAATTCCCCAAAGAAGGGAAAAATGAAAGTAGAATTATCAATTAAAGTGGCCCGAGCCTCATGATGGAAAATACTACTCACAAAGAAGAAAGAACTATGGAGTTTGAATGCAGATCGAAGCACACTATTTGCTATTTTTTTTTCTTCTGTTGTATTGTTTCCTTTTTCTGGTGGTTTTCCCTATTGGTTCTAATTCTTACAACATCAGTAATATGAAAATATGTTTAATAGAAATGTATACGTATAGCCTATATCAGATTTCGAGCAGTCTTAGGGAAGGAGGTGGGGAGGGAGGGGGAGAAAAATTTAAAACTCAAAAGCTTATGGAACTGATTGTTGAGAATTCAAAATAAATTAATTAAAAAAATAAATACAGTGTGAAATGCAGCACTGTTAAGCCACAAAAATAAATAAATAAATAAAATTAAAAAATAAACTGGCCTGAGGAACTTTCCTGAATTAAAAAAGAAATGTCATAGGAAGCTACTGAAAGCTGAGAATAGCTTTTCATGGGAGTTTTCTTTGGAATGAATGAATGGATTTTTTTACAATTTTCAATAGTAGACTTTTTAAAAAGTTGCCCATTGCAAGCTTTTGTGTATGTTTTCTTCTGCACAATTTCCTATGTGCAGATATAGAAAATGGAAGCCTCACTTTAGCAAAAGCCTTTTTTTGCACAATATTTCTCTTAAAAGCAAAAGAATTATTTCCAAACATGTATAATAAAAATACTTTATATCTGATAACAGATGGATTCCTCAAAGTACAATGTCGGTTTAATTTTCACAATACCCTTGCCAGGCATTTTTGCTGGTGTGGAAAATTAAATAAAACTGATAGGTGCCCAAATCACCTGGTACCTTGAGGAAGAGGCAGAGACCAAGAGAGAAGCAGATTCCCAACATCCAGGCTATGTTCCTACCTTAAAGAAACTTAAAGAAGTCTGAAGGATTCTGGGCCCCATATGGCCAAAACCCCTAAAAGACTGTGGCAATTCTGATTTGTGACAAGTGTGTCCTGGCGACTGGGAGAGAATTCAGGAGGGACTGTAGTTAGATATACATATGCTAACCAGTCATTGATATTAAACACTGACTTCCCTATTGTACCTGTACTTCTTTTTCTAATAATCCACACGTGATCAGGGGTTAGAACTCTTCTCAGGCTGATGGTGCCACTCTGTGCTTCCTAAAACTAAATTGCCTTACTACCCAAAGTACCGCCTTATAGTTAGTTATGGGGTATGGGGGAAGGGAGGCTATTTTGCTTTCATATTCAGTTAGTCATTACCCATAATGCATTTGTAGAAAATGCAGCTCAAAAGAATATCTTATTTATGTAATGTCCGCTAACATAATTGTGGATGTATTTAAATAATTTTATAACTGTTCCATAGTCCTATTTTTCCATATTTTTGGTTCCTCACGACTTTCACATGAACTATAAAACATATCCTAAGTTAGAAAAGATGAAAAAGAGGGGTTTTATATTTTTAGAAAACAGGTTTATAGTTGGTCTGAGAGTTGTGGGTTATCAATTGTTAATGTTGTCATTCCCCCACCACTGTCTTTGACTGAGTATGGTGTTTTGTTTCGTTTTTTCCCCCTTTCATGTCTATGTAAAGCTTGGTTAAACAAACGGCTTTCAAATCCATACAAAAACAAACTTCAAAATCTTTGAAGAAGAGAAACTATTTCAGGTGCTTACTCCACACTTGTGAAAACAAACTAGCAAACAAACAAACAAAAAAACCCCATAATCTTGCTAAGACCATTTCTGTTTTAACCCACAAACTTCAAGGTAGAATCATCTTGCAAGAATTCTGGGGAACATTTTAGAAACCCCACAATTTTCTACCAGGAGATGTGTGATACAAGTAAAACTACATTTTCAATAAGTACATTCTTCTTTATAAATCAGATAGAAGATGGGAAAAAGGAGAGAGAGGACTACTTTCTCCTGGTTCTAAACCTTACTCAAGAGATAATTAAAACTCAGTGGAGTGTAGGAGAAAGGAGTATGTACACATACAGATGAATTTGATTCTGGCAGAGCTTTTGGCTATTTCAATTTGTCTTAGATGTGCTGCATATGGGCCAGCTGACCTGACCCAATTTCTAATCCTAAATCTAAAGCAAAGGTTCTTAACCTTTCTTGTACCATGGACCCCTTTGGCAGTCTGGTGAAATCTATGGACCCCTTTACAGAATATTTTACAAGCTTAAGATAAAATATGTAGGATTATAAAAGGAAACCAAGCATATTGAAATACAGTTATCAAAATATTAAAGAAAAAGCAAGTTCACAGACCCCAGGTTAAGAACTCCTGCACTAAAGGGAAAGGAAAAGCCCACTAAGCTAACTGCATGACCAGTGTCCTTCCCTGTAGAAGATGTCCATGCCACCTTTGTCTGAAGGACCTTGGACACCTGCTGGGCACTGTCTGTTGCTTGGCTCTCACATCATCAACTTTGGATTTAAACAGTAGATGGGATTAACCTTCCTGGTGACATCAACTTCTTTGTGGCTGTGTTGCTGAAAAATGGGCATCTTGTATTGACAGATTACACCCAAAGCCATGGGGTAAAAAATCAAATGAGAGATAAGAAGGGCATTAATGATGCTATAGACAATGACCATTCACTGTGTTTGAGAGTAGATTTTGCCTTCACCAAAGATATATAAAATTCATTCACAATCTTCATTGTTTTGAAATCTATTAAGGTATTTGTTGGCAGAAAGACAGGGGCATAAAACACCAGTATTAACTTTTACTGATGCTTTTTTTTTAACATTGTAGTTGCTTCCCAGTAATATCTCCTCCGCTCCAACAGAACTCTTCCTTGTAACAGAGGTAAAGTTAAGCAAAGCAAATGGGCAGATTGAACATGTCTGACGACATATTTTGTTCTGCACCTCTTCTTGTTCTGCCATATCCAACTCTTCATCATCCCGTTTGGGGTTTTCTTGGCAAAGATATTGGAGTGGTTTGCCATTTCCTTCTCCAGCTCATTTTACAGATGAGGAAACTGAGGGAAATAGGGTGAAGTGACTTGCCCAGGGTCATATGGCTAATAAGTATCTGAGGTCAGATTTAAATTCCAAGACTGGTGCTCTGTCTACTGTACCACCTAGCTGCCCTTCTGCAGTCTATCGCTTCTGTACCTAGAAGAGGATGGACACAATGATCTTTTTGAGGTCAGATCAACAGCACCTGAAATGAACGAGAATCAGGCTTATACCCTACTCCCACTCTCTGTTTCTTTTACTGATTTCTCAAGTTCACAGTATTTGTTACTCCTTAGTGTAGTTTTTAAGAGGGAGGAGAGTGAGGAGAGATACTATATAGGTCAAATCCCATTGCAACGAATTCTTTTACATTTTTTGTATAACAAAAGGATCTATAAGGTCTGGTATTGCTCATCTCCTTAAAAGCAAAGTAGCTTGATGTGTGATTATTAAATAATTACAGAATTTCAGAGTTGAAAAGGTTGTCAAGGGCCATGTGGTCAGATCCAAATCTGACTGAGAATCCCTCTTCAACACTTCAACAAGTGGTCTTCCAGACTTTGTTTTCTTTTTTATTGCTCGAGGCAATGGGGTGAAGTGACTTGCCCAGAGTCACACTGCTACTTAAGTGTCAAGTGTTTGAGGTCACATTTGAACTCAGGTCTTCCTGAATCCAGGGCCGGTGCTCCATCCACTTTTCGCCATCTAGCTGCCCCTCTCCCAGATTTTAATGGAAGACCTCAAGTAAGTACTACCTTCTGAGGCAGTCCATTCCATTTGTGAATAACTCTGATTATTAGGAAGTTTTTCTTTAAATAAATAATGATGATAATAATTATAGCTAGCATTTGATGCTCATAACACTGGGAGGTAGGTGCTATTATTATCATCATTCCCATTTTGCCCACAAGGAAACTGAGGCTGAGAGAGGTTAGATGACATGCTTAGGGTTACACAGCTAGTAACTATCTGAGGCAGGATTTGAATTTGGGTCTTCTTAACTCCTTAATTTGCTTCTTTACACCATCCATCCATTGTTCCTACCCCCAGGGACCAACTGGAACAAATATTCCCTCTTACACAAGTATGCTTTCATGTATAACTGTCACATTCCTCCCCTTTCCACCCGTCCTACCTCCAACACCTCCAAGCAGGTGTCCTGCACACTGCAGCCTAACTCTCGCAATCAGTCCTACCCACCACCATTGCTGACTCCCCATGCTGGTCAACCCTACCTTATAGCTACCTATGACCCCATGCCACTGGTGACAACTAGTTAATCTGATCAACTTGTCCAGGCTGAGATGCTGAAGGGAGAAGACAGGCAAAGGTGTCAGCAGCACTGAAGACTTAATGTACTCCTGTATAAACTTTTATTTTGCTAACCTGGGGTGTGCCCTGTTCAGGCCTTCTGTCCAGTTAACCACAGAATCAGCTCTGCCCAGCAACAGAAAGAAGGAAGGAAGGAAAGAAGGGGGAAGAGAGAGTGAAGATTTGTGAGTGAGGATCACACAATAGGCCTAGAGAGACAGAGATAAATCCACAGAGCAGACTTTATGTCGTACTTCAGGGGCCAGGTCCCTTAACAGGCAGGGCAGCTCAGGTCCCAGGAGTAGGGACCTCCGTCATCTCCTCACCTTATCACCTGATTTCTCCAGAAAAGGCAGTATCATAGTGCTCATTATCTCCTGGGATATAGTAAATCTTCTGATCTGATCTTTGGGAAGAGAAGAATGACTCCAGCTATCCCACTCCTTCCCTTTCTGATCCCTTAACCCATTTATTGGACTGAGATTTAGTGCCCCCTTCCTTCTCTTCCCTGCCTGGCCCCCTTTGTTCTCTCTCACCTTGCCCCTCTTTTCTCCCAAAGACAGTGTGGCTTAATGGAGAGAGAATTGACCTTAAAGCCAAGAAGACCTGGGTGTCAAGTTCCTTCTCTAACTTATTGACTGTGTGACCTGTGAGTCCTCTAGGCAACACTAACACTCTCTAAATTGCAGAGAAAGTGCTAACCAGCATTGACAGAGAAAGTTTCCTCTCCTGGGAATTCCCTATGCCAATGAAATTACAGGTCCACTCCCTCTCCCTGTCCCTTCTGGACACTGCCCAAACTCTCCAGGGGGGATTTCAGGCAAGAAAGGAGGAGAAATTGAGTCTAGGAGAGGTTAGGGAAGGAAGTTAGGTCTGATCTCCAAGGGTCTCAACCCTAGGGCTGACCCTTCTTAAAGGATACCCAGAAATAAATATTCCAGCATCCTTACCTTGTGCAGCCCAAGCTACCGAGTATTAGGGTGAGCTTGTAAGAGTTCACGGATAATTTAGCCAGGGGACATGGCCTTGAGCCTTTTGGGGTTGTTCGCCCCACTCCCTTACGCGACTCCTTCCAAGTTCACTGTGAAAAAAGAGAAGCCAAAGTTTACAAGCAAAAGACTAGTCAAGTGAAGCAGTGGGAGCGGAGAAAGAACAAAGAAATCTGTAACTGACTGTAATCAATTAATTATAATTACCACTGCAATCGGACCAGCCAAGAAAGCTGTCCTACCTGTCAAATATATAAGGTCCTAATATTGTCTACTTCTCAACTTACGGTAACTGCTCAGGAGGGGGGAGGTTGTGCTATTGATTTTAGAACCGTTGCTTTAAAAATAAACAAAAGAAGCAAAAACAATAATGTTTTTAACTGGTCTTGGAAACATTCACCTTATTTAAAAAATTATTTTATCACCAAGAGGGACGAAAGTCCTCTGAGCCATCCGAGTTGCATTGTGGGTGCCTCGTATGCAAAATGAGCAGCTCCCAGTTCCATCCCTTAGTTTTCCCGAGTGCCCAGTCACAATTGTTTATTTTGGATTTAAAAGGTTAATTATTCTTTACCCTCAAGTACTAGGAACATGCTTTCCCAAAGACGAGACTGTGGCATCACCCGCGTCTTAGTTCCGCCGTCTGCAGCGCTTCGGGACTGGGGCAGCCCCCAGTCTGGCCCGAGGCACTCAGCGGAAAGAAGCCTTTAACCCACGTGAGGCTGGCTGTGCTTCTTTAAGAAAAACAGCTTCTCTCTAATCGTTTTTTTTTTTTTAAAGTTCCCCTCCTCCGCCTCTTGTTCTTTTAAAATGTGTAAACTCATGTTTATTTGGAGGAGGTGCATGGTCATTGTCCTTTTGACTTACAAAAATTTTTGCTACCTTTTGTATTTACGTCACCTTCGTTTCTGAATACCTGTATAGCCCTCTGCCACCCCATACCAATAAAGCCATGTAGCGAGAAATAAAAAAAAAGGAAAAAAGATAGCAAAAAAACCAACCAACAGATCGACAAAGTCTAACACTAGATGAAATGTACCACACCCACAGTCCCTCACCTTTGCAAAGAAAGTGGGGAAAGGAATTTCCTCTTTATTTTAGGGGAATAGAGGTATGGTGGTGGGAGTGCACGCTAGGCCATTATAATTACACAGCCTCATTACTGAAATAATTGTATACATAGTATACAAATAATTGTATACAGAGTTATGTATACATAACTCTTAAAAAAAAAGGCCCCTAGATTCAGATCTGAATTGATATTCTTGGAGGAAATTATTTTTTAGCGGGCTAACGTCACAGTAATGATCTCCCAGTCTTATTCAATCGTTTTGCTTTTAAATAAGAACCGGGAAAATTCGCCTTTATTGGAGGGACATTCAAGGAGCATTTATTAAGGACCTACTATGTGCCAAGCTGGGACTTCTTTATCAGAATAGTCTTATTATAACAGAAAACAATTTTGTCTTTGAAGCTAAATTAATACAATTAACAAAAAAAAAACCCACATAACAAATAGTATTTTTAAAAACAATGGTGGGGTCGGGCGGGATCTGCACAGCTACAAGGAAAAAGTCCCCCAAATAGGTGCATACATCTTTGCTTTTCGAAGCAATCAACCCACCAAGGCTTGCCATAAGTTTCTGCCCTCTCTGCCTCATTTCCATTTGCTTTCACTTCCTTAAAATCAGTTTGAAACTTTTGTCTGAATGACTAACTAAATTCATTCGCTAAGAGGAATGCACTTCAAACCCATATAGCATTGGGAAGTTCCTCAACCTCGAGGTCCGAAAATCCTCCCGCTAGTAATTCCTCTCACCTTGATCCATTTAACTGGGCCAGGTCGGTAAATCAAGAGGCTGGGCTAGGAGATTAAAGGAAAAAAAAAAAAAAGGCGCATTTTTGATGGGCTGTTGCCAGGTGGCTAACAACTCCAAGGCAGAGTGGGAGATACACAGCCTTAGGGCAACATTACAGATGACTTCAGAACCCTATCAGGTGAAACTGCCCAGCCACTTTTCTTATTTGAGAGACTGTGTAATAAAGACTGGATGTCAAGTGCTTCGGGGATACTGTTAACCTTGATGTTTCTGGAGCTTCAAAGATCTAGTTTGTTCTTGAGGGAAGAGGGTAATGAGGGAACATTTTGCCCTCTTGTTAACCCCATCAGTATATCTTGGTGGGCTAGTGAAAGCCTCCTTTAAGATGGAACCAGTGGGTTTATCTGGTTTAGTAAAATACAGATTGAAGGTCGGTCTCTATTTATACAACTCTATAGCTCAGTTTCGTTGACCTCCAAGATTACTTTTTCTGGGGAGAAGATATTTCCCTAAAACTCATAGTCTACTTCCTCCACAAGCTAAAACATGCTCCACTTCTATCACTATAACACTTTGACACGTTGCAGTTATTTTCAAACCACAAAAAAAAAACCTGCTGCAATTTTGCATTTTTCTTTTATTTCACCTGAATGTTTTCTAATATTCCATACTGTAGATTCAGGCATTCCAACATCTAGTTCTATTTTAGAATTACTATGACCATGTTCATGCCATTCCCAAACTTTTGTCGTGATGTAATAACAAGCCTCTTCATTTTAGAGCTGGCATTGTTTCCACCTGAAGTATTATTCCTCTTGTCCATCTTGTTAAGGTCATAAAAAAAAATTGAGACAACTATTGGTAATATGGTACTCAGCCCATCACACCCACGTGGGAGAATAGGCAAATATAATATGTTAAAACCCTCAACTAGCTCACATGCTTGGTCACATCAATTAAATTTTGGTTCCCATTAAATGTGTCCTGGTATCATTTTGTAATTCTCACTAAATCAAATTTCACATTATTCAAACTTAACATTAATCTTAACCTAATTGTACCAAGTAAAAATTAATATTTGATAGGGAATGAGAGTGGTCAATCTGATTCCAAAGTTTGAAAAATTATGCAGTATCCATCAGGCATTCATGGCATTAGTAAATAATTGTGATTCTTTAAGAATGAAATTTATGGGTATTATTTTTTCCAAGCTATTAAGAAGTTGTTAGGACACAAAGACTTATTAAATTGTTTGGACACAGTTACTTAGTAAATGGAACTGTTGGACATTTCTTCTGGCCTCGAGTGCCACTAGTGCCTTTGTACCTAGAGCCTCTGGGCTGTTCATTTTTGTTTTGTTTTTGTTTTTTTCCTTCTCCTCTCGATGAGGCTGGAAGGATGGAGCAAAGATTTTAAGAGGTCATATACTGAGCCGGCCATAATGTCCTTGGGACTCAGAGTATTTAGTGTGCACAATTTTTAGTGCTGGCACATTTTTAGTGCTTAACAATCGCTTGTTGAAGCATCATATGTAATGGGGACAAGCTAGGAGCATTTCCAATAAGATCAGGGGTGAAACAAGGACATCCATTATCACCACAGCTGTTCAATATTGTACTGGAAACGTTAACTTCAGCAATAAGAGAAGAAAAAGAAATTGAAGGTATTAGAGTAGGCAAAGAAGAAACAAAGCTATCACTCTTTGCAGATGACATATTGATATACTTAGAGAATCCTAGAGAATCAAGTAAAAAGCTACTTGAAATAATAAACAACTTTAGCAAAGTTGCAGGCTGTAAAATAAACCCACATAAATCACTGGCATTTCTACATATTACCAACAAAGTCCAACAGCAAGAGATAGAAAGAGAAATTCCATTTAAACTTACTGTAGACATTATAAAATATTTAGGAGTCTACCTCCCGAAACAAACCCAGGAACTATATGAAGACAATTACAAAATACTTTTCAAACAAATAAGGTCAGATCTAAATAATTGGAAAAACATCAGTTGCTCATGAGTAGGCCAACTAATATAATAAAAATGACAATTCTACCTAAGCTAATTTACTTATTCAGTGCCATACCAATCAAACTACCAAAAAATTATTTTATAGTTAGAAAAAATAATAACAAGATTCATTTGGAAGAACAAAAGGTCCAGAATATCAAGGGAACTAATGAAAAGAAATGCAGGGGAAGGTGGCCTAGCCATTCCAGATCTTAAATTGTATTATAAAGCAGCAATCATCAAAACTGCTTGGTACTGCCTAAGAAATAGAGTGGTGGATCAGTGGACTAAGTTAAGTTTGCAAGACACAGTAGTCAATGACTATTGTAATCTATTATTTGATAAGCCCAAAGACCCCAGCTTCTGGGATAACAACCCACTCTTTGAAAAAAACTGTTAAAAAAAATAATTGTTTGTTGACCTGTTGACTTGCTGGGCAACATAGAAAACAAATATACAGTGATTTGGGCATGAGGGATAGTTCTAAATTTGATAGATTAGGAAAAGTCTCCAGAAGGAAGTGTCGCTTAAATGAACTGTTAAGGGATCTCAGGGTTTTAAGAGGTGGAGGTGGGAAGAGAGAAGACCTTAGGCATGGGCAATGGCCTTCCCAAAGGCATAGAAACAGTTGATGGTGTGTTGTCTATGAGGACAGCAGATAGGTCAATCCAGCAGCATATTATGGTTTGAACAACAGCCATTTTTTTCTCTCAACCACTTGGTGTTTCCTATGTGGATAGTTGTTTAATAGCACTTAGCTCAGTGTCTGACACATAGTAGGCACTTAATAGATGTTGATTGATTTGATTTGTTGTTGTTGAGTTGTTCCAGTAGTGTCCTACTCTTTCTGACCCCATTTGGGGTTTTCTTGGCAAAGATACTGCAACGGTTTGTCATTTACTTCTCCTGATCATTTTATAGATGAGGAAACTGAGGCATACAGAGTTAAGTGATTTGCCTAGGGTCACGCAGCTAGGAAGTGTCTGAGTCCAAATTTGAACTCAGGAAGATATCTTCCTGATTCCAAGCCCAGCACTTTATCCACTGAGCCACCTAGCTGCCAAATGGATTGACAGATGAGCCAGACTCTTAAGTAATGATGGATCTCATTTAAGAAGCTCTGAAATATTCTGGAGCTTAAGATGATTAGCACATATCTTGAATAGGAGGAGAGTAGGCCAAATTACTTTGAGGAAATGCTTGCAAGCTTCTTGAAACAAAAGCCTATCCTTTAAATACCAGTATTCTCCTTGGATATGTTTTCTTGAAAGACACAGTGGGTGTAAGCAAGCTGAAACACGTTAACAAGGACTTACCTATTCAAATAAGCAGTGCTATTTGGCTACAAAGCATGTCCAAAGAACTAAAGTTACAAGATCCCTAAAAGGCATTGGATAGAAGCAAGGTGGGTGACAGCAATCTGACATCTTACCAATAAGGAAATGTGCAAGATAAAATGACTTCGGTCATCATAGAATCATAGATTTAGAGCAGGAGATATAATTAGGGAGACAGGGGTGGGACAAGCAAGAAGAACAAGCAATAACTGACAGTCCATGGGCTTCACTGAGACCCTCACAACGTTGAGGGAGGTTCCCAACAGTGAGGTGGATCCCATCATGAGAATTTATGAGGTAACTTAGATGAGAGTCACATGGAAGAAGGCATGGATAGGGTTGCCATCGGCATTCTCGGAAAGTGTATGCACACTGATAACCACACATCAAAGTATAGGAAAAGATAGTTGTTGTAGAATTATAGTCAGCTAGGTGGTGCAGTAGATAAAGTACCAGGCCTGGAGTCAGGAAGACTCATCT